TACAAAGTATTACAGAAATTCCTCGTTGCGTTGCATCTAAAATGTCGTGATGTAACATTTCACCTGTTAGATATAAATCTGCCTGAACTCCAGACAAAACTGAACTTCCAGATCCAGCGCACAAAGCTATGCTACTTATTTCACTTCCTAATGTCAAAAAAAAACGTCTTGATTTAATAGTAAATGACATAAGTTAAAACAATTACTAATCTTACGTTCAGTTTTATTTTTAGCCAACGCCAATCGTAAGTGTGATAATCCTGTAAGCGATTTTATGTTTGCTATTGCTGCTTCAATAGTAATGGGTTTCTGAAGAGTACAAAATCTTCCAGCTCCTTCTTCTGCATTATTTTCTTTTGGAGTTAGTGGAATTGATTTTGATAAAGAAAATGCACTTGCTAACCAGTCATTGACTCCCCCTTTTACGCAATCCCAACTTGTATGGGGAGAAAATACAGCGATCTTGTTTTTGATGCAATTTATTACAATACGCTGCTTCCAATCACTAAAACATTTTTATGATTTAAATTAAATAAAATTGTTAAACTAAAGAAAAATGAACTATACATTTTAATCTATTAGCCTAATAATCACGGAATAATTGGTAATTAAAATAATTAATTATGCAGCAGCGATGATTTCGCTGAAAATTCACCTAGATACTTGTTTCTGCTTACATCAACAAAAGTGCATTCTGACTAACTGATTTTACCTACCCAGTAGTAGGTACTTCTTTTTAAAATAATACAATCTTTTTTGCTGATTTTCGAAGTATTCTGTAACCTAGTCATTATTTAAAAATCTTATCGTCAATCATGAACTTTGCAACTGTAAGTTTAGTAGATAAACATACGTAAATTACAACTGTTGCATGTAAAAATTACTTTGATAGATAAAGAAATATTTTATCTTTATGTGCAGTCATATTAAATAAACCAACTACGTATATTTTCCGAACTATTCTACAAAAGAGAATTGAATTATTTCATTTTCCATTATTATTCTGGCTTTTTTCAAATGAATAAGCAATCATTTGAAACAAATACAGCGTTTGATATATTATTAATTCTAATATCTTATATTATCAATATGACTACGATTTTTGTATGTTCATCTCCAAAATTGAAAAAAATAAAAATTAAAAATTTAATGATTTTGTAAGTCATTTTTTAGCATATAGTTTAGATTTCTGAAAAATAAAAAAGGCATCATTTATCTGTTATTAATGAAATATCTATGATACTATAATTATAATTGATCAATGTTTTTATGATGATAATTGAATTGTTGTCAGTGGCAAATGCAGAATCTTTATCTGGGAAGGCCGTGCTCACGAAGAAATTCTATCGCCGTGACATGAAAATTGTAATAAATAAATGAAATGTGTTATTAGAAGTCTAAATTAGGATTTAAATTTTAGACACGTATCAATGAAAATAGTATGAAAGCCCCATAGCCTCCCCCCTAGATTCGCCACTGATCGTTGTGGAAAGATTATCTGATAAATTTACGTAATTTATATAGTCGTTATTTCCGCTACGGTGTATACCTATTGTAATAACTTATCTGCTTTTGTACGCAAAAACAATGGTGACAAAAATCTGCTGATACCAAATTGGAATTAAAATTTTAAATAACCCAATTAATTCTAAAAAAAGATTATTTTTAGAATTATAAAAAATCCGATTGGTAGTAAAATAAGTAGCGTTTCCGATTTTTAAATTAATTCTTTCCGAGCAGTTTATGAATATATGAATAAATTTGCAAATATAATTGAAAAATTATAACGTTTAAGTATTTTTAGATATCTGTATTTTTTAAAATAAAATACCTACGTATATACATATATGGTTTAAAACATATATACAAAGCTTTCTTCCTTTAAAAAGGCAAATCTGAATGAGGGTTATCGAAAACAAAAAATTATTAAATGTAGTCGGGAGGAACATAAAAATTCTGTTTCAAATGAACATTCGATGATTTTTAATAATTAAAAAGTAAAAGTAAAGCGTCCAAAATATTAAGGTAGGTATTTAAGAAGCATACAAAGAATTCACAAAAATAGTGTAAGATGGAAAGTGAAAGACCTTAAAGCCATCTGAAACACCCCCAATACCTATTATTTCAGGACAGTCCAGGAATTTCTTCTAATTATTTCCGCTTTATTTTTTTTCGCGTTTTATCTGTTTAACAGGATGTTATCTTTTAGTGACGCAATATAGTTATTAATACCTGTTAACTTCGAGTTTTCGTGACAGAATTAGCTCAAGTACTTTCCGTCAGTATTTCCATCAATTACCTAGCTAAATTTTCTACAAAAACGCCCTTTTTTCGTTCTTTATTTGATGTCATTTGCTGGCCATCAGCGCTTACGAATTATATCGCTATAATTGCTTATAACTTCAATATTTTCACAGATTACCATGTTTTGAGTTAATTTTCTAATTTTTCTTCAGCATCACATGACACAATTAAACCCATGAAGATAAGTAAAGTGTTGTGGAGGCCTAATGTTATACATACATAAGTAAGCGGGTACGAATAAATTTTCAGTTTGCATAACTCTCATTCAGAATGATATGAATTATCCATTTTCTTCGTCCTTTTCTATAATTTAATACTAAGCGATTTGTTAGTAATAAATAACAGTTTTAAGTAAACGATTATAAAAAATTTAATTATTTCTACCTTTGCATGATGAAAATATGTTTAAATACGATTAAAGAAACTCTTAAGATTTTATAAACTAACTTATGGGTCTTGCCTTAATGTTTATATTGGACAAACCCGCAGAAATTTTAAAAAACGCATTTTAGAGCATAAAAATAGTTATTCAAAGAACAAAACTGATTCAGCATTTGCTAGTCATGTTACTCACGAGGGGCACTCTTTTAACGATATTTTAGAAACAATTTTTCTTTATGCAATAAAGGGCAAAAATCAACTCTCTATAGAGAATCTTGAAATAAATAGATTTAATAAACTAGGATTAATTTTGAATTACCAAGTTGAAGTAGGTATTGTGATAAAACAATTAGGCAACTAACTAATTCGAAAAATGATTCAAGTATCTGTCGTAAATATTCACAAAACTATAAAAGGCATTATCATAATTTTTACTGCGTAATAAACAAACAAAAAGGTGCTTCGAATAGCCCCTTAAAGTCCGCTATTTTCCTGCTTCCTCCTTTAACTATTTCTTTGGATATCATGTTAAGCATTAGAATGGTATAACATTTACGATTAGACGAAGTGTTTCAAAACTACTATTCGTTCCTCCAATACATACATTACCTTAAATGCTAAAAGGAATCATTGAATTATTAGGAATTATATTTACGTCGATATGACGGTCTTCAGAGGACGAAAAATATTAGGATGGTAAGTTACTATAAGACCAGCATCAATGGTAACTGCTTCTTCAACAACGTTTTCGGTGAGATCGTTGGTTAGTAGTATTCTCTGGATTAGCTTATTTTCCATCGGATCAACTAGTAATCCCACATTATCCCAACTCTCCGCGTAACTTAGAGGTGCAAAGTCTTCAAGACGTTGAAGAATATCACTCAAGGATTTTCCCATGGGTAATTCGGTCATTATCCTTTCAGAAGTTATTCTAGCCGTTTGGAAACTATTTATTCGCAATGAATTCGTTTTTCTTGTAGTGAAAAATGTAGAATACTGGCGCACAGAACTCCTTATGAAACTCGCGATCAATCTTAAATGCATGTGAACCTAAAATAATATGCAGATATAAATAGTGTTAACAAAAAAAAGCATGATGCAAAAAACATAGTATAAATCTATATAAGACGNCTAATGAATTACAAGCAGTTCATCTTAATGACTTACGTTATAACAAACAAAAGATCTTTAGTTACAAAATTTTTATTGTAAAAATTATATTGCATTTTTATAATAAAAAATTGCAAATAAACAGGTGTGTTAATTATATGTAGTTGCGAGCATAATTAGCCCTCTTCAATTCGATTAATAATTTACATTGTACCTACGTGGTATATCGTAATCGAAATCAAAAGGAATAGAAAAAATGCTTTTTTTAACGTTCATATGCTCTAATAATGGAAAATATGTAGAACAACAGAAAAAATTACAGCATTTTCAAGGAAATATCTCATGAAATGTTCGGGCCTGGGACCCTCCCCCCCCTTTCAGGATCAGAACAACCGAACTTCTATATTTACATAAAGATGTTTTGTTAGAATTTATCAATTGTAGCGATAAAAATATCTTGTGTAAAACAAAACTAAAAACGTTGTTTGAAGAACTTCAGACAGTCTCGATTTAAGAAAAAAAGGCAACAGTTTTTGTCAACCATTTCTTCTTAAAATCAAGATCAGCTCCTGATGGCCCCAAAAGATTAATTAAAGAAACAAACAAATGAAAATTGATGCTGTCCTGACTCGCCATAAATACAACTTCCGTAGGAGAAGTCACCAGTCGTCATTGGAGATGGAAGGACCTTTGAAGAAGCTCGCCACTCGTTAAGAAGGACAGGATCAGTTCAATAAAGAAAAAATTCCAAACTTTCTATCTTTCTATTTTAATTAGTGCAATATCAATACATATCTTAATAAGATATACTTAAGAAACGTTTCTTTGTCATGAGATGTTTATTTTTTAATTAAAGATTAGAAAAGAAATTAGAAAATATTTAAGAAAAAATCTTTTTTCTTTCGTTTTTGTGCGAATTTTTTCATGTAATCAATTTTCATATATTTGTGGGTAAAAACAAATAAGTTGTAATAAATCCCATTATTCTCTCTTGCAATAAATTAAATAATGATTAAGCAAACTATAAGAAATAATTTTAACATTTCAAATACATATATTTTATTTGATTCATTAATAAAATACAAAGGACATTC